TCACTCATTGCGCGGGGCCAAATGGGACCCACCCAATCACATGGTTGTACGAGCCCATCCCCTGGCTCTGATACCAAGATAAAACTAATTCTAAGGTTTCACATATTCTTCTTTATTCTTCTCTCAAGGAGGCAACACATATATATACATACTCAATCCTTGTATTACAAGGAATATTAAAGACATTATAAAATAAGAGTCATACCCAAACTAGGAAACACAATTACATTCCTATTCAATTATTTGACTCACGCTAGCATCGAGCGCTTAATTTGTCAGTCTTTACATCCCTTCATAGCATCATGTTCTCTTTAACAGCCGCCACTTGGGCCAGAGTTGGTGTTTAAGTAGCCATGCCCCTGTGTACCTGGGACTTCATGTTATAAAGTTGTCAGTACCCCAACTTGCTTCTGGCAATCGAAAAGTACTTTATAGGGAAACATTTGGCTTTATTGCTGACGAACACTTCAAACTACCAAGCAGTCATTTGCAGCACTTGGGATTGTCCTTCCCAATCTTGTCTAGCCTTGGCCTTTCTTCATTTGGGCATGTGTTACTTTGGGCCTTTGAGGGTCATAAAGAACCCCGCGATAACACAATTTAAAGTAATCAAACTCTTACAACGAACTAGAAAACTTGCGTTTTATGAGAGTGATTCCAATTTTTGAGTCTAATAGATTGAACTCATAAGTTTGATTCATGCACAATAAATGACTAACTGTTTGAGAAGGAAAAAAAAAAAAACCAATAGTAGAGTAGAAATTAGATGAATTTCACAATTAATAAATAAAACTAACCTCTATCAAACTTACACCGCTGTAACAATTGGGTTATAGAAATCACATTCAAGGTGTTTAATCCCTATGTATAAGAATTAAACTCACCCAAATCACTATGAAAGATCTTAAAATAGTAATATCACTCATAATTATTAAAAAAATATATTTTATTCAAGACAATTTCAATTTGATTATTCTTAGTATCTCATTAAAGATATACCACTCAGAATAAAAGATATTCATGTAGGGAGGGAGCAATAGCCACTAGGTTAGTCTGATGTGCCATTTCTATTGGGGAATTTAATTTTTAATTTTTAATTTTTAGCAAATGAATATTGAGTATGTGACTCACCCCACCCCTCCTAACATCATTGACAAGGAAATTAGTCCACTTTTTCATGTCTTCTCATCTCTTTAAAACCCAATTATTAAAAGTATGCAGTCTAGCTGGCTTGGTGCAAACTCTTTTTTGTTGAGGTGGAAAGGTTTGGAATTGATAGTTTTGCATAAACTTTTTTGAGAGGAATAGAATAGAAGTGGTTTTATTCATTTGGGGAATGACAAGTATACTTTTTTCCTTTCACAATTATTTTTGTGTGATTTATTCAATTTAAGAAACAAAAGTAAAAAGAGTGTGTGAGGTTAAAAAAAGTATGAAAATCAGTTCTGTTTTTTTTTTTTCCGCTAACTTTATATGTAATCAGGTATCGAATTGCGATTTATAAGTAAATTTCTTTATGTAATAAGCTAAACAATGTTCTTTTGAGAAATTCGTCACTCGTTTGTTTTGTACTTTTAGCAATTTGAGTCATTCCCCCATGCACATTTGGTACAAATATTAGTGATGGTGACTATTCATAATTCAACATGGAACATGGATGATGGTATAGAATCATCATGATTTCCTTTACTCCTACTTAGTAAATGTGAAACAAGGTACCATATATGCTAGCATGTCAAATGAAGAGATGCAAGTTTGAGATGTAAAAGTCATATTTACATCTCATTTTACATTTTTGAGAAATGTATATTTTAGTTTTACTCCAGTGAGAGATGCAGTCTTTTTTCTTTGTTTGAATGGTGTGGTCCACTTCCAAAAATGTAAGATGTAAAATTTCTTTTTTATTTACATCTTCCAGTTAAGATGGGCGTTTTATATCTTTTTCAGTAGAGAATTTTTCAGCCAATAAAAAATATAAAATGCTCATTTCACAGTATTTTGCACCTCCTATTAGAGGTGCTCGTATGTATTTGAGACACACTAGAATTGTTATAAACAATCACCTTAATAAAGTATGAGGCCTCGTACCTTATACTCAACTTTTATACTCATACGCGTACCTAGAACTCTAAAAGTTAAAAACAACTCGCAATCATATACATATAAACCTCGAATTACATACTTGAACTTAAAAGTCAAAACCTAGATTGCAGGTAAAGTAGCTAGTTTCTTCTCCAAACACCCTAATGCAATTAGACACGAAGCATCCAAGTTTACACCATTACGATTTACATGTATGAATTTACTTTAGTATTTTAGAGTATTAAATGCTCTATACTTTTTAACAGTTAGATTTTTTAATTAGAATACACACGATATTATCTACAGAAAGAGTGAAGGAGTAAGCTGAGCATCATAATGGATTAGCCAAACAATTTAATTAGAATTTGCCGCGAGAATCGAATTTAACACTTATAAATGAAGATAAATACCATTAAATTGTAGTACTGAACGACTTTTAACGGTTAGATCTTTTGAACTGTTCACATCATGCGCACTGTGCCACTGTACAGTGTATGTAGACACACTCCCTTCTATTGCCCAAGAAAAAGATGGGTGCAATCATGCACATACACCTCTCTTATACTATGAAAAATCCGGTGGGCCATGAAACCCAAAATATATTAAAAGGTTCGGTGGGCCCAACATCACACCTCAATCGCCTTGACGGCGTCTCTCCTTGATTTGTTGATTTGGACATCTCCAAACCATTTGTCGACCGGATAACTCTTCGGTCTATTGTTTGTGTTCAGTTGTCCCTTCATTTATTTATTTTTTTAAACGATAAATTTGTTAAATTAGAAAGTTAATTAAATTTGAACGCATGTAAAAATGTAAAGACAAAACTCATTTTTTATAATTATGATAAAGAGTCATCAAATAATTTGGTTTATAGATTTTTAAATTAAATTTATTATTAGGTTAATTACATTTCTCATCATGCAAGTTTTTTATTCCCCAAATGAGTAAACAATTTCTAATTTTTAGCATTATCTTCTAATTTTTTGATATTGTCTGATTTACGCCTTTTATTATGTTTTGATTGGTCAACCATTAACTTTTCATGTGTTGTAGCACAACTCGCACTAACCAACCACACTAGAAAATACAAATCAAGATTTTTTCTTCTTCTGGGTTAGTTATGCACTTCCACGCCAATAATTAACCGGATTAACCTTACAAAATTGTAAATTGTTTGAATGTCAAAGTGTTGGAGTACAATATGAAAAATTTGAAATCGCATGACCTATCGTGAAACTGATTCTAAAATTCGTAATGATAAAACGTACTTAACTCCTTTTTATGTTTTCATTTTATTCGTATTATACATGATATTTTCTTCCATCAAAATAAACCTTGCAAGATATTACAAGCTTTAAACAGTCATATATTGAACAAAATACAGTTAATCAACCGACTACTCACGTTGGCAATATGTCATGAAGTGGAAAATTTCAGTTATATACAAGTTAACAATATTTTTGCAACGTATTGTAGACTTAGTGAGGCTTTATATTAATATTGGCCTGCTATTTAATTAAAATATATGTAGTACCAAGACAATTAGGGCTGGTTTGGTATTGCTGTGCTTTGAAAAAAAGCTGCTTCTGCTGTGCTATGAGAATAAGCAGCTGTGAAATAAAGCAGCAAAGTGTTTGGTAAACTTTTTTGTAAAAGTGCTTTTGAAAAAAAAAAGGCAGTATTATAGTGTTTGGTAAACTTTTATGTAAAACAGATGTGAAAAAAAGCCGGTGTTTCAAAGCTGGGTTTTGCAGCTTCTTTTTTTTGGCATTTTTTCACCCAAAACTGTGAAAAAAAGCTAAAGCTGAATGTTTACCAAACACAAAAACAGCTCTCAGCTTTTTTTGATACCAGCTTTTTTCAGAATCACCTCAGTACCAAATCAGGCCTTAGCAGGCTAAGAATATAAATTTTAAATACAGTTAGAATATATATATATATATATGTGATGTGAGGGTGTTAAAAAAAAATAGATGGTTGAAATGAGAATCTGTTCTCCGTTTATATTTGTTGGAGAAGAGATACCATTTGACTTAATGATTATTAAAAAATTAAATTATGCTAATCCATTTTTTTCTTGTATGTAAAAAGATTCTTATATCAACCAATGAATTGTGCATGGAAAGTCACTAACAAATTAACATAATTTTTTTGTTAATATTTCTGTGTTAGAATGAAAATGCTAAGGAGATAATATTTGATCACGTTGTATCACTTCTTTACGAAGAAATTGAAGTTTTACCATAAAATTAATTGAAAATATGAGGAGTAACATAATTATTTATAAGCACATACAAGGTTCTTTTTTTCCACTATTTGAGATTGATATCTCAATATGCTTGTGTAACAAATTTTTAAGCCTAATACGTAGACAATACAAATCGGATGATATGGAGCTTCACAGGAGGAACCACCTACTCTAATACCATGAAGAAAGATAAAGTTCCACCATAAAATCAATTGCAATATAAAGAGTAATCTAATTACTTATATGCATATGTATGTTCACTCTTTTTCACGAGCGACTCATACTCTCGACACTCTAATAAGGTAGGACTAATATTGGTGAGCACTACACAACACATTCTGTTAAAAATGTGATCTCTCTTACATTACTCATACTAAAAATATCACTTCACTAAATTTTAGTTGATTTTTATCAATTTATTACTTTATAAGTAAATATTAGCAATATTATAGGAAAGTGTTATTGACACTCCAAAAATTTCATTCTATACTCTTCACAAGTGTATTTTTCTTTTCAATTCTTTCCAAATATAGAAAGTTTGGAGTGTAGAATGAGATTTTTTGAGTAACAATAACAATTCTTATATTATAAAAAGGAAACTATTCAATTTTAATATGAGATAGTATCTCCCACCGAAACTCCCACAACTAGTGTTAGGCCAGCAGCCCAAAAGTCCCAAAAAACCCCCATTGAAACCACCACCCACACCTCTATCTCTCCTCCTCCCCCATCTCTCTATCTCTCTCTCTCTCTCTCTCTCTCTCTCTAAAGCCCAACTCTCTCTCTCTCCTTTCCACAACCAGCCTAGACTGTAAAAAGTCAAAATGGTTCAACCCTTCCCCAACTCCACCACCCTCTTCACTTCAAAGCCCTCACCCACATGCACCTTCTTCTCCCTCCTCATCGTCTGCATTCTGGGTTTTTATACCCTGCATTCCCCCCAGCCTGCACTCTCCTCAAATTCCCACTCTGCCTTCCTATTCCGCCAGATTTTCCTCTCCCACGCCACCAACGCCACCCTCTCCTCCTACCTTCACGCCCTCACCCTTCACCCCCACCTCGCCGGCACCCCGCCCTCCCTCGACACCGCCAACTTCGTCGGGGACCACTTCCTGGGCCTGAGACTCGACACCCGCTCGGCCCACTACAACGCCCTCCTCTCCTACCCACTCCACTCGGCACTCTCCGCGCATTTTAGCAACGGCTCCCGCGTGGACATCCCGTTAACCGAGCCCGGCCTTAACAATGACCTCGACGGCGTCGTTCCGCCGTACCACGCCTACTCCCCCTCCGGATCGGCGCACGCTAAGTTGGCCTTCGCCAACCACGGCACGGACGAGGACTATCGTGCGCTGGGGGAGCTCGGGGTGAGCGTCAGCGGGTGCGTGGTGATTGTTAGGAGAGGCGATGACGTGTCCAGAGGCGAAGTAGTCCGCAAGGCCGAGCAAAACGGTGCGCTGGCTGTGCTATTGTACACCGAGCGGGGCGATGGTGATGCAAGTGGGGGGTTTAACAAGGGTTTTGAGAGAGGGTTTGTGATGAACGGCGTGGGGGACCCACTGAGTCCCGGGTGGGCCGGGGTCGATGGAGCCGAGAGGCTGGACCTGGATGACCCTGAGGTTTTGAAGAAGTTTCCGAAAATTCCATCCATGCCGCTGTCCGCAGAGGCCGCCGAGACCCTTCTGGGGTGGCTCGGAGGGGCTCCCGTGCCGCCAGCGTGGCGGGAATCGCTGCCCGCCTTAGTGGGCGGTGTCGGGCCAGGACCGACAGTGGTGAATTTCACTTACCAGGTTGGGCTTTGTTGGTGCCCATTTTTCTTTGTTGCATGGATTTTAGTCAAATGTTGTGTGAAAGGTGGTGGCTTGGAAACTTCTGCTTGTGGCAATGTGTGGTTTTTTTGACTTTGGTGTTTTCTGTTATTTCTGTTATGTTATCCAGACTGGTGGTTGTGTAAAGTTTAGTCAAATTTGGATGTGGGTTATAAATTCAGCTCTGCATTTGGGATTTTTGCTAGAAACATATAATTTTGTGAAAAAGCTTTGAGATTTTTGCCAATTTTAGGAGAATTGCTGACTTGGGGTGAAATTTTAATCGAATTTGGAAATATTTGCTTGGTTTGGTTGGTCTATATCTCAATTTGCAACCGTTAGCTGAGAATCAGATATTTACTGGGACAAATACCAGTTGTGGGTTTCCATTACTTGCATATATTTTCAGGAAATGAAGCCAATACGAGTTTTTCGGGCATTAGCTTTAAGGAGAAGGAATGTTGAGTAAGAAATGCCAATTGATTTTTGTATATGAGATTGGTGACATTTCCATAACTATACAATAGTGCGAATTTGGAGCGCCATAATTTTCATATTTATTGTTGAATTCCATTCTCCTGTTTTATGAGTACGTATGTCTCTTGTATTGTTTCCGAGAGCTTTTCTTTTAGTCTCTCTGTTAGAAATCTATTGTTCTGTCGCTTTGTGTTGCTTCGTCTACCATCGGTGTCTTGTTTATAGAAATGCCCCTCCACAATCTTTTAAATACTCATCTTTTGATTTGAATATTTTGTTCACTTACCTATTAGATTTTCTGAAAAAACAAGAGGAATTATATTTACGCCTGCCTGGGATAATATCCTTACTTGCTCCCTCTCTCCTTGTATATAACTTATACTTTCTGTGTCTTAATTTTAGGGGGAGAAAAGGGTGGTGAAGATTCACAATGTTTTTGCTGTCATAAGAGGTTCAGAAGAGCCCGACCGCTATGTGCTGCTTGGCAACCATAGAGATGCGTGGACGTTTGGGGCCGTTGACCCCAATAGTGGAACTGCAGCATTACTTGACATTGCTCGTAGATATTCTCTTTTGTTGCGTTCGGGTTGGAATCCTAGGAGGACAATTATTCTCTGTAGTTGGGACGCAGAAGAGTTTGGAATGGTAGGTGATTCTCCATTTTCATTACCAAAAAAGAGTCTGGGCAGTCACAGTCGTTTTGCATCAGATGGTTAAGTGACTTTTATTACATAATAGTTAGGTTGATTAATCAGAATACTTGAATTTATTGATCTCTCAAGGTAAAATTCATTATGTTCGGTGCTCTCAGGTAGGATCTACTGAGTGGGTTGAACAGAACATTGCTAATCTGGGTTCCAAAACTGTTGCCTACCTCAATGTAGATTGTGCGGTTCAAGGGCCAGGGTTTTTTGTTCGAGCAACTCCTCAGCTCGACAATCTCATCCTTGAGGTTACAAAGATGGTAAATAAATTAATCATAAACATTAACCGCACATCTAAATAAGTTAAGGTCAGTTTATTTCGAAATGAGTCACAGTTGGCGCCTGGTATTGTCTAACATTGACTGCTATTTAATGTGACTTCAGGTTAAAGATCCTGACTCTGTCGGTGCCACTGTATATGAGAAATGGATGGCAGAAAATAGAAGTATTGATGTAAGTGATGATTTTCCCATTCTTGCTCCATACTTTCATGTGGTATCCTACTATGACAGTTTTGGTCACATGTTCTGTAATGGATTTGCAGATCCAAAGACTCAGTGCTGTGGATTCTGATTTTGCCCCATTTTTGCAACATGCAGGGATTCCTTCCACGGATATGTACTATGGAATTGGTACACCTCTTATTTCCTTCTAGTAAGTCGGATAGAAAAATTGAGTTTTATATTAATAATGCGGTGGTGTGATGAATATTCATTCTTGTTCAGATTTTCCTGTTTATCACACTGCATTTGACGCCTATGAGTGGATGACAAACTTTGGAGATCCTTTGTTTCAAAGACATGTGGCTGGTACGCATACTTTTTACAGACTTATCTACAAAACTATTTGTTGCCTAGTTTCGTTAATAGATTTGAAGACTGTTGCCTTACTGTTAAAACTTCAGTGTAACTTCTCCTGTGGTTATCTCAGTTGCTGGAATATGGGGACTTGTAGCCCTCCACCTGGCTGACGATTCAATTATACCTTTCAATTTCCTCTCTTATGCGGATCAGTTAAAGGTGTGAATCTTCTCCGAATTTTGTTATTAACTTCTTAAATTATTTTTGGTGAAATACTGACAGTTACCATTTTTACTTATGGCTTTTGTTTTAGTATAATCAACTAAAATTGAGAGACAAACGGAATGCAAGCATTTAATTTTTATAATAGATAGAATGAAATGATGTAATACGAAAATTATTTAAAGGCATTCGCCGTCATCAGTTAATGAATTTGTCAAGAATACTATACTTGTGGGTAAAAAAAGGGGTAGTCTTGGCTTTTTTGTGCATATGGTTGGTCCTTTTTAAACTAAATGCTAAACCTACATCTTTACTAATTTTGGGCAGCATTATAAAGATGTTTTGAGCAACTTGTTGGACGGGGGTGTATCTCTACATCCCCTCACAACAGCTATTCAGGAGTTTGCCTATGCCGCCAAAGAAGCTGAAGATGAAGCACAGGTAAAATCTTCAAAAATAGACATATTAACACTCTTTGTTGCCGTCTATTAGTTAAATAATGTCAAGGGTCAACATGTCAATTTCGATATCGTGTTGGATTAAACAAGTGAAATTCTAATGACATGCATACAGCACTGCATTGATTTATTTTCTCTCCTTGTTCTGAAGCGGAAGAAGCATAAACCTTCTGGGAAATTTTGTGAAATTTATCCTTCTTATTTTATGGAGTGCAGAAGCTGAGGGAGCAAGAAAATACAAGTGAGCTTGTAATTTTGAAGAAACGGGCACTGAATGATCGGCTGATGCTTGCAGAAAGAGGCTTCCTGGATTCAGGTGGACTTCAAGGAAGACAGTGGTTCAAGCATCTTGTAAGTAATTTTCCTTTTCCTTTATTTCCTAAAGCTGATTGAAAATTATTAGATATTTATTATGGTAGTTCAAACGAAAAGAGAGAGAGGGAGTGGAAACAAAGAAAAAGAGACGAAGTGTTCATACAAACGCATTGCATGATCATTTCCCGTCTTCTTGTAGGTGTATGGGCCTCCTGGTGAGCATGGAAGCAAACTATCCTTCTTTCCCGGAGTAGGCGATGCAATGCTTCGAGCAAAGAGAACGAGCAGGAGAGAAGGGCAGGCCAAAATTCAGCATGAGATCTGGAGAGTTGCCAGAGCCATACAGAGGGCTGCAAATTCCCTGAGAGGAGACGTTTTCTGATATTCATGTACACAGAGCCGGTGGGGGATCTGCTCCCGGGTCGTCACTCTGCTGCATCTGGCCCGCAGTTTAGGCGCCTTTGGGAGGCAGGGAGTGTGAAGAGAAAGAAGAAACCTCGGAAACATTCTGGTGCTGGCCTGTATTTATGAGCATTGAGTAGAAGATTATGTAACTTTTTGGCCCTGTAATATAAACTCACAGTTTTTGTAAATAGTAACTTAGTTATTCCCTTTAAACTCACAACTTTCACCGAGGGAAGATTTTGATGTACCTTCCTTATCAAAAACTATATTTAGCGTTCTAGACGAGTGATGAAGTGTTTTCTGCAAAAAACACGTAACTGGTGCTTCTAAAATGCACTTCAGGTTAGAGTTGGGTTCAAACAATTGAAAACCGAAAAAAATGGGACCTAACACCATACTGAAACTAAAAAACAATTCTTATATCTGGACATACAAATCAATTTTCAAAAAAACTTCTAAAATGTATATTTAGCTTTTTAGACAAGTGATGAAGTGTTTTCTGCAAAATTTGATAGTGGCCGACTCAGAAAACGTACAAATCAACGACGGAGACAAGTAATAGAATTATAAATAAAAGGGAGTTTTAACGAAAAGGGCCTGACATTATTCATTCTTAATCAAAAGGACATTTTGTGTATGAAAAGTTCATAATGGATCAAGCTCTTTTCTTTATTTACTCTTATGCCATTTTTATTATTGTAGCGGGGTTCACAATGATATTGACATTTATGTCTGGAAATACACGATGCTATTTAACTTATGCTAATTTGCTGCCAGCTCTTCATACTTCCATCATGTGGTCAATTTTATGCAGCTCTTCTTCTGTCAAATTGTTCCAGTACTGTTCATTGCCTTCTACTAACTCTGCATCTCTTTCTCTATCTTCTTTCACTTTGTAGTACATTTTTACTGTTTCTTCTTTGAAATTTTGAGGCTTCCAATAGGGCTAATGAATGATTCTTGTCTTACTGTAAATATACATTTCTTCTTCTTCTGCTACTAATATTATATCATACCTAAAATCTTCAAACTCATCTAAGGCTAGCATTTGGATCTCTCGAAATTTTAGAATATTTTTGTATGAAGGAGTCCACCTATGTAAGGAGATAGGGGATAGTCTAAAGAACTCTTCATTGATCATGGTTATATGTCCAGCTTTCTCCTTATGCATATGTACATACCAATCTGGAGGACTACTAATAAAACTTATGCAAATTTCTTTCCATATTTCTAGATAATTTTCTACTACTTTTAAAAACTTTTCAAGAAATAATTCTAGTTGGGAGACATGGTTGATGAATATTTTATCAAGATAACCAAACTCTAATAGTAAGACTACTACATTATGTTTTTCTTGATGCTCATAACTAAAATGTCATGGTCTATAATCTCTCATGTTAATCATAGCTACAACTATGCTAACCTCTGGTTTACAAATACAACTCTCTGTACTATCACAAAGACATGGCAAATACATCTTTGTAATAATATCCATCCCTGGTTTGGGATTAAAGATGGACTAATACAAAGCACATTGTAATTGTAGTTGTAACTCTTTCATAGACTTTGATGATCTGCTTAGGATCTCATTTTGCATATTTGGTGACATTATTCTTAATTTTGCGTTTGAAATTTCTTCTAATAGGATATCATCTATTATTAAGTCTAAAGATACATTTCTAAGAAAGCTTTCATATCTTTTTTGTTTTTCTTTGTCACTCAGATGTTGATGCTGCTCATTATTTTAATGCTACTCCATTTCAATGTCTTCTTCTAAGAGCTCAATCTTAATCTCTTCTATGAGCTTATTAGCCTCTTATTCTATGGGTTCAATAACCTTTTTTTCTTTATTCTTATGCTGATCAGTTTCCAAACCTATTTTCAATTCTCTTTTTAGCGTGTCACTTGCCTTCTGCTGCATTTTAAGAGATTGGAGTTCTTGGTTCTTTTTTTTTTTTTTTTGTTGTGCTCAAGAGAATGAATATGATGATGGCTTTGATGGATACTAAAATTAAAACTATCAAACTCTTATTCTAAGGTTCTAATTAGTTTTTTATGACCTAACCTCATGCTTGGCTGTTTGATTTGGAATTGGATATTCCAAAAATTATTTAGGAGAACCTGCTGCCTATCAGAAAGCCCTAGTACTCTTAACCTATACCTTAGAGTTGGATTTCTGATTCCTTCAACAATATTGCCATTAAAGTTGAAAGTTGGTATTGGTGGTGATGCTGGTCTGCTTATACTATTTTGGAATCCATTGAATGGTGGAGGTTCATGGTACATCATTATGCTATTGAAGTGTGCTCTTCTGTCTTGTGGTCTTGTGCCATTTAAGGATGATGGTTCACGATATTTCATTCATGTTTAACAAATTAATCTTGATAAGATATCAACTAATGTATTGTCATTACCTTTTATATGTTCAAAAATTGGTTTAAAACCATTTCCTGTAATTGAATCAACAAAATTAACTCATCTTCAGGCTGCCTGTTTGTTAGCATGTATCTTGTTATAATGAGAAACTATATTTTGACAATCTGTTCTAATCGTAGATATTTCATTATGTAAAAATAAAGAGAATGCTTTAAGTGAGTTAATTATTCCTAAAATTTCTAAATTTGTTTATGGTAATCTTGACTGTACAAATTTTCCTGATGAATATCTACAAACTTGTTCGTCAGACTTTGGAACTCCTTATGTTTTTTCTGGTATAGTATGCCTGCCCATTTTAATGATGAAGCATATGTTTCAACTATTTTGTAACTATCATCTAATGGTAATGTTAATGGCTTAAGTTGAGTAATTTGTTCCTTTATATTTTGAACTAATTTAATATCTTCACTATTAAAATACTTTTGTCATGTTTTGCTAGTTTTGCTATGTAACATTGATATTTTTCTTCCTAAATCAGGGATAAAATTTCTTGCATAATTTAACAATCCTAAAAATGCTTGTAACTGTTTCTTATCTTCTAACTTATCTGAAAATTCTAAGACCTTTTTAGTTATATGTTCTTGTAACTGTATTGTACCTGACTTAATATACATTCCTAAAACTTCTATATCTTACTTTTCTAATGACTTTCTCTGAAAGGTGATGCTATATTATTTTTGCTAATCACAATTCCATTATTGATAAATTCTTGTAAAACTATCTCTAAGTGCTTTCTATGTTCATTTCTATTTTTACTATGTATTAAAATATCATCTACATAAACACTACAATAATTATCATATTTCTTGAAAATTTGATCCATCTTACGGAGCATTTTTAAGTCCAAATGGCATAACAAGCCACTCAAAATGTCCTTACTAGATAAGTAAAAGCTGTCAACTCAATTGATTCTTCTGGTAATCGTATTTGTTAAAATCATGATTTACAATCAAATTTACTAAAATATTTACTCTCTTGAATTTTATTTATAAGCTCATCTTTATTTGGTAACTTATAACTATCTTCATATATGTTATCATTTATTCTCTTGTAATTATAAACTATTCTAACCTTACCTCTCTTTAGTTCTGAATGTTTTCTCACTATAAATGTTGTTGATCTATGTCTAGACTTAGAGGGTCTAATTACTTTTAAATTTAACAACTTTTTTATTTGTTGCCCAAACTTTTGTTAATCTATTAAACTACAAGGTATATCAGCTGTCTTAATTATTAAATCTGGGTTAATTATATCTAATTTTGCTAATATTTTATTTTTATTCCAATGTAACTGTGGGTCTTCTCCTATAATTCTAGTTTGTTCTACTAATTGTAACAATTCTTCTAAACTCTTTGGTTTGTTTAACTGTAATATTTTTATAGGATTTTCTTCTTCTATAATTGGATATTCATGTTCAAATATTTCTTCATCAAACTCTTTTATGTTATTATGCTCATCATTTTTTTTTTTTGAGTTTTCTAAATAATAACTATCTTGACCACTAGACTCTTCTATACTTATGCTTTTGTATGCTTCTCCAACATTACTTTGGTCAGTTATTGTAATACCTCTTTTGAAAAATGTTATGCTAGGATTCATAAATAAAAAATCTTGGTAAACTTTTCAAAAAATTTAAACCTAAAATGAATGGATATGATCCTATTGGCGAAACAAATGTTAATGGTAAATCAAATTGTTGTTTTTCTACTTTAATAGACTCATTATTAATGCTATGTGTTAAGTAAACTGGTCTCTCATCGAATTGTGTTATTCTCACAGGTTTTACTAATTTTTGTGTATATTTTTCTGGTACTAACTCTTCTCTTATGATACTCTTTGTACTTCCTGTATCTATCATAGTTGTTGTTTGTATCTTATGTTCTAATTAAAGAACTATTTTTTGACTTTTCTATACTATAAACAATATTACCTAATATTTTAGTATTTTCTTGTGATTCTGCTGAATTAATTTCTAATAACTTATTATTATAATACTTTTCGCACAATATTGAATATGTATTATAATACTTATTTGCAACTAACTTACTACACTTATGAAATTTTTTTGGCCAACCTAAATTAATGTATTTATATTTTTCTTCATGTTGCTCTTCTATGAATGCACATATATACTCTTCTAAATCACTATTTGTGCTACTTGAATCTTCGAGTCTGAATCTATCATATTTATACTTTCTATACTATAAATACTTTCATTATCACTTAAATCATCTAAGCTATATATTGATTGTATATCTTCATCTTTTTCTAACTTAAACAACTCCATTAAATGTACTCTTTCTCTCGGCTGTTTACCTAATTTTGGACATTTAGGTCTAATATGTCTAACTTTTCCACATGAATAACATTTACAACTACTCTTATCTTTTGGTGCTTTATATTTTCTAATCCAAGGTTTGCCGCTTCTTTTCCTAAATTGTTTTGTAATATATTTTATTTTCCTATATGTTCTTGAAGATCTTCTGCTGAAATTCTTATGTTGTTTGTACGGTTTGTATGACTTGTATTTCTTTTTGTATATTTTCTTATGCTTATTCTTCTTATGACAACCATACTGTTGTAGTAAGTCTATATTTTTACAACTCATGTAAAATTGTTTTCTAATTTGTCTCTTAACTTTTTTTTGGCTACACTCTTGTCTAAGTATATTACATACATGTTGAATTCTAGGTCCTATTGCAATATCATTTTTCTTTGCATGCTTTTGTCATTCATTCCAAATCTTTTCTCCTTTTGGTCCTTATATTTTTGTCATA